CAATTGCCTCGAAGGTATTTGTGACGAGGCTTTGGGTCATGCCCTCGTCACCTCGGAAAGTAATAGTCAATGAGACAATGGGATGTTCATCGCCTTAGAGGATATGACGTGCATATGCGGATTTGCATGTGGTCACGTGGGTCAGCTGAGATCAGCCATAGTAAATTTTTTTTTTTCCTTATTTGTTTTATATTTGTTAGATGGAATTGGTTGTTAAGAAAATTAGGTAGTTGCTTTTACGTTCAATAAATTAAGTTCGTATTTTATAACTTTCATGCATTATTAGGTATTCACTATCTAGATGTATATTTTGAACACGTCTATTCATTAATAATGAAATTCATAATTTAAATACCAAATATGTATACAAATATCAAGTTTCGCTTTTGATCTCACTTCTAAAGTAAGCAGTAACTTGTCCTAACTGAGCGATTTTGAATCTTATGGAATTTTGAAATTTATTGTTGGGTTTTTGTTTTTATGGAATTGTTTTTCTATTGTGATTTAATGGAATTTTGGGATTTTTCCATTTGTCTATTGAAATTGATTACGTTTTTTTATGGTTGGAATTGAATTTCATGTCGAACAATTATGAAAAAATATTTTTTCAAAAAATCTCCATTTTCAAGTAAAGAACAAAATATTAGTTAAATGAGTATTTAGGAGAAGAAGATGTTTGACAAATATTTATTGTAACTAAATTTTTGACTCTACAATGAAGAATGTCTGACTATGCCACTCGTGACATGGGCCTATAAAAGTGCTTATGTTGCATTTTGCTTAGTTGGCAATCATATGGCTCGTCATGTGATAGAAGCGTAACACAAGGAATTTGATGAATAGTGAGTTAAAGTCGAGCTAAATAAGAAGACACTATTGTTGAGGCAATTTTAATGATAAAATTATTCATAAGATGCGAGCATAAGATATATTAAAACAATAATCATACTAACAGAAATGATCTAATGAGCACCGGTGCTCATCTTATCCTAAGCACCGATGAGTTGGCACATTAATTCATTGGTGGATAAAGATTTTGTGAGTTCCAATCCACCAATGAATTAATGTGCCAACTCATTGGTGTTTAGGATAAGATGAGCACCGGTGCTCATTAGATCATTTCTGTATATA